CCTGGAACAGGATGCCCTGTAGAGGAAAGAAATTTTCTTCCCTTCCCAACAGTGTCTGGCTTTGTTTAATCTGCCTTACCTCCTCCCCACTTAGTTTCTTCTTCCATTTTCTTTAACTGGGCAGTCCATTCAGAAGGTTCTTCAGATTTGTCCTTTCATTATATCTTCTTAGCCAGTGTCCTTGCCCAGCGAGTCTCTCCCTAGCTGGAGCTCGTTAATCAGTCTGTTTGGTTTGGGTTTTAGCTCTCATTCTGTAGAATCATTGACCAATTCCCTTGCTAAATCAGTCTCCAGCTTTCTTCCTAAATTCCTTGTTGAGTCTCAGAATTAGTTTGTTTTCAGACCCAATGTGGCTCACAGCAGCAGCAGTTCTTGGAAAAGATCTGCTGGTATATGCTTGACCTACAGGGAGCTTGAGAAAAAGCACCTGCTAAACTCTGAGCCTGACTTGTGTGCAAATAATCTTTTAGCTGTGTAGCATGGGCAGAATAGGTGGGACTTTTTTTTTACCATCCTCTGCAATTCTGTCTCTGAGATGCAGGGCAGCGTTTGCAAAAGTTGAAGCCGTTGAACTTGTGTCCCCCAAAATGTGATGTAAAGAACTGTTTAGGGAAAAACTTGCATTGCTTTTAATATTTTCGAATTTGCTTCCTGCCTCCTCTCTCCCTTGGGAAAAAGGGCTCAAGTGTTTACAACCTTGCATAATGGGTCAAGCATGGGCAGCTTATTAAATTTATAAACATGATTAGTTTTCCAAGTCTCTGAATATTTCAGGCAGTGGTGATTTTTAGCAACATAACTACCTCTGTCTAGTATTTCTTGTGATTACGTTAGATGAGAGTGGATTTGGGTACCTGTCGTATCAATGAGACCCATGTAGAGCTTTCCTTAAATGGCATATGAAATGTGTGTCCATTATTTCTTCAAAGTGAGAGTACTGGAGCGTTTTCTCTTATGTATGCTTCTGGAGATGATAACATAGGTATTAATTAGAGTGATTTTGATGACAGTGGTGATGTTTTGAAGGGGATGTAATTTTTTTAACAGTCTTGACTTTGTTATATGTTGTGAAGCTTTAGCGTGCATTTTGTGTATGGACTGAGATACAAAATGTACTCTTATGACAGCACAAAACAGAGCTAACAGTGTATTGCAGTTTGGTCCATAAAAATCAAATGTATACTTTCTTTTTTTGTTCTAGTTTTGTTGGAAACTGTGAAATTGATTTGGAGATCAAGAGGTACTTCTGCAGAGCTGGTGTGAAAAGTATACAGGTGAAATTCAGGGTTTTTTCTTTTGATTTTTCTGTTCGGTCATAACTGAATCATTATTTTCCAATGAAGTAATTTATAAGAAAGAACCAATAACTGTGTAGTTTTGTTGCTTACTATTTTTTTTCTCCATTGCATAATACTGATATTGAGTAATATTTCAGTAACATGACTTAGCTGAAAGGGTAAATTTCTTTCAGATGTGGAACTGTTTTAAATATCTCCATCTTCTCCAGTAGAAAATGCTATATAATTTCACATCAAGGCAATGTTCATGTGATGTGTAGGTTTGTAAAGGGATTGTGGAACTTAAAATTTTATTTGATATTTCAGTGTTAGATGAAGTGATTGGTTTAGATGCTTTGCCTTCTCATACTGTTTCTCAAATTTCCTTAGCTTTTTGGTAACAGATTTCTCTCTAATGAGGAAAAATAGTATGCTTTTTGTGTGTGTATCTTGACATACCTATAAGCATATACTTTCTTTTGTTCTAGTATCTGTGGATGCCATTGTAATGGTTTGTGCCACATTTGTTTACACTGAGCTGTATAAATAATCTACTTCATGTTTTTAGGAGAATTGCCACTAACATGTCACAACATCATGTAGATGGAAGTAACAAATTTGTAAGCCAAACTATTTAGTGTTTCTATTGAATTTTTGGGATTGGGGTGATATGTAAAGCTACATATAAAAGATTCTTCCACAATGAAGGATTTAATGAATTTAAAAGTGTGAGCATTGCCAGTGAATAAATTGATTTAAAACTTGAAGTCACTCCCATTGCTGTATTTCCCTCCCCTTCTACAGATTCATGGCACTATGAGGGTTATCCTGGAACCACTAATTGGAGACATGCCCCTAATTGGAGCACTATCCCTTTTTTTCCTTAGGAAACCTGTAAGTACTTTTATCTCTGTTTCTTCTCTTTTTGGAGTGCTGATGACAGTAGTCAGAAAATTGAGCAAGAATTAAGCAGCAAAAGGAAATAATATGGAAAATAGCTACTGTTTGGTTGGACTTTCCCAGAAAAATAATGAATATGAATGATGTGCATTCTTGCAGGAGTCAATAACATTGTATTCATTCCAGATATTTAAATTTTCTTGAATTAAGATAATTAAAAAAAATTATACTTAGTTTGCTGAAGAGGAAGAAAACTGCATATGAGTAATTTGAGGAAAATGAGTTAAGGAAAGTTTTCTGAGGCCCCAAACTTTTCGGAGTTCTGGCATACCACAAATTATGTCATAGTTACTTTTCCTGAGAAGCTGGGTTTTGTCTGGCTGCCTTGCCTCTTCATGCAGTTTCTGGAAGCTAAGAACCTGGGTGGTGTAGTCATACAATTTTAGTTCTGTGCTTTCCTCTAGATTAAAGAGACAGAAGTATGTCATTGAGTCTGCATTGTAAGGCACTATAGATAGTGAATTGTTGCTCTTTGGAGTGATTGTTTCACTTCAAAAGCTGTAGTCTAAATCTTGCAGGTAAGACTGGTCGACAAGCACCAGTATGTCTGCTAGTAACTTGGTGTAGCATCGGTAGAAGAACAGAGGATAGAGAGCAAATGTGATTTTCAGCGTCTGAAAATGAATAACAACAAATAGTCTACAGTTTTAATTTAATTGTCTTATGAAGTATGACAGTAATTCTAGTCTAGGTTTAACTACTCCCAGGAAATGTCTCTTTAAATCAGCTCACCCATCAAGAAATGTTCACAGATTTTGCAAAGTCCATACAATAACCTGATTTTAGAGAAATATATAGGAGAACGTAATACATATGGTACACTTGGTGACTGAAAATACATGTAGTATGTGTGTCTGTAAGGCAGTTACAGCGATTTGAAGTTGAATACAGCTTTTAATAAGTCAGTTAGAGAGCTTAATTGAAAATGTGAATGTCGTGGAAATTCTTATGTTACATGGGCTTCATTAAAAACATTATTTGTTTCCGTTTCTTTCTGGGAAGTATATTTTTCCATTGGAAGCTTTTGTTTCTTGAATATGTTTTAATTGAACAGTAAAACTTGTGATGTCAAGATCTAACCATTTCAGACTATCTAGGCCATAAATTACACGTGTATGGTTCTAGGCATGTTGAAACAGTCTCAGATAGATTATCTGGGCTTCCTCAGAAGTCTGCAACTTTTTAAAGTTCATCTAGCTTTTAAGGTTTGGGACCTGGGAGTGAATTCTTTGCTTCCACAGCTTTAGAAGGTATATTGTTATTTTATTCCATGAAAACACACTCTTGTAACACAATTCTTTTGAACAAATGTTCTATGCTAAGTTTTTTGCAACCTTGTTGAAAATATGGGGTTTTATGGGTGTTTGTGTGGCCTAGGAAAAACTTATGGTGTCACTTGTGTTGTTTATGTGGCTTGCTTCATCTGTAGAGAAACCATGTGTGCTTGGGTAGAGGGAATGAAGATGTAAATCTTAGCAGAATATGCAAGAATTTGGAAATGCTTTGTGGGTAATTCAGTGAGCTTCTTTGTAAAAGTGAAATGGTTCATGTAAAACCGATAAAACGTCATTGCTCTTACTTGGAAAGATTGGAGAAGTACCTTAGGATGAACCAAATTTGGATTTACACACATCTTTGAAGCAAGTCTAAACATTAGGAGATGTCTCCTTAAGTTTTGTCTCATTTTTGCCCTCTGGCTCAGCAGTCTGAGAGTAGGGCATCTGTTAACGTTCATGTTTATACTAACAAACTGAGCAGAGCCCTGACAAGGACTGAGCACTGCCGTATGGTACTCTGCACTCTGTAATTGTTAGCATACTCTTTGATCCAGTTTTGCTGTTCAGTGCTCTCCCAAACAATTTCCAGACTCACTACAGTGCCCAGCTCATTACAGGGGCCATCCAATAAACAAGTTACATACAAGTGCTCTGTTTTAGAGGAGCAGGGAGAAGAGCTTAGCTGTGTGGGCACAAAGTTTACTTTTTTTTCTCTACAGGAATGACCTTTCTTCACGTTGTAGATGTGGTTTGTGTTGTCTCTCTCAATTCTGTTCCGAATTAACTGAGAAAGAAACCAGTGCATGGTCCTTCTGCAGAAGCCATTCTGACACACGTGGTGCCAGAGCCATGACCCAAAGCAGCATGTCTGCACTGCTTTCCTGGGGCACCTCCTGCAGCTCCTGCTGCTTTCTTGCTTTCTGAGGGAGAGGTAGGAAAGCTGGCAGGGGATAGGGAGGGAGAGATCAATAGCAGTCGTGCTGCTAAGTAGCTCCTGACACTTCCTTTGTTTTTGAACATGATATCCTGGTAGCGTTGGTCTGAACTTTTCACTTCTGGCACTCCCAGATACCTGTCCAGTCAGCTTTTAGCTTCAGTACCTGCACCCAGTCCTTTTTGCGCCAATCCACTCTTAAGCACCACGCGTGTGCAACGTGCTTAACTCAGACAACTTCCATTTGAGGTAGTAAACTGAAAATATATCAAATGAAACCCCTCTCATTTGTGGTCAGTAGCTTTCTGAACTTTGTGGAAGACTTTGTCCAGAGTATTACTCCTACCCCCATGCCACTTATTAGGGGATTGACTTGGTGGATGGGGGGGAAAAAAAAAAAGAGGATGGGAAGTAGAGGGGGGTATGAAAATTAAAAAGTCAGTCCCTCCCCAGAAGTTTTCAGTTGCAAAAATATTAAAAGGTCGTTTATTTATTTATTTATTAGCCTCCTTTCACTTACTTTTTAAGTTAGTGGTCAAAGTCTGAGGAAGATTAAGGGTGGATTGGTCAAAAAAATGTAGCTTTGAATCGTTATTCCATACCTTTGACAGTTATACATGGATGTTTTGTTTTTTTCCAAGCAGACTTCTCTCCCTGCTGCAGTGTTTCCTTGGTGTCTATTTTTCTAACTTTTGTAGAAAAATGTAAAATAATTCTTATTATAGCAATAACCAAATTCTGTCCTCTTACTAGAGAGCAAGTGGCTGTAGCCAAGGAAAGCTTTTCTTCAATATTTTTGTTTGAAGAGAAGAGGAATTAGTTGGCAGCTAGCATTAGATTTTGTTCTCATATTTTCCAGTCTAAAGTAACTGGCAACAATTCCTCTTGCTCTGTATCATCTGCTTGCTGGCCTTAATGACTATATAAGGCAATGCTGCCTAAATTAATCGTTCCAAACATACTTGTTTAATGAATTTACCAGTCTCATATTTCTGAGTAATACAAGAAGTTTTTGATGCTGCAAGAGTTTTATTTTATATGGAACTTTTAAAATACTGTAGTTTAGTTTTATTATTCTGAAGAAGGTACTAAAAGTTTCATCAGCTTACAAAATATGTCCAAGTATGTAAGAGACTTCAAGAGAGAGAAATATGTGCATTCTGATGTTTTGAAGTAGTAGTTTAAGAACTTCAATGCTAGAGAGAAGTCAGCACTGTAAATAGTCAGGATTGGTAAAGTCTTTTGCATTACTTCTCATGTCAGCATTTATGTATATTTATATATTCAGCTTCTCTAAACACAGTCATATTTTCCTTTTATAATAATATCACATAGGTAATTATTTTAATTATTTTTTTTTGTTCAGCGTATATGTCTTACAGCTGTACTGCAAATCACTAATTTTCAAAAGCTTGTTTAGTGGCATACTTAATATTGAAGGTGTGTCCTAACCCAACTGTTTTCTTTTTTTGAAAAACAAACAAACAACAAAAAAAAACCACCCAGGCAAATAGCAGTACTATTGTTCTAAAAAATGCCAATGGCTGGAAAGCTAGATGCCTTCCAGGAAAAGTGGGCAACTCTTCCAATGCTCTAAGTTTTATATTCACAGCTTTGCCCTCCACTTGCTGACTTGAGCACTGCTCTTCCTCTGATCTCTTTACATATGTGTTCTGTCTTGTAGTTTTGATTTATTTCATATTGGTTTAATTTCACTGAATATTGTCTGTCTTTGGAAAGTTCAGTGCTGGATACAACTTCCAAAATTATCTGTGCTGATGAAAATTAGACTCCAAAGGAATGCTTGCACCAAGAATGAGTCCTAGTGAAATGGCTGAAAAAAAAACATAGTGGTTTTGTAGAATGCAAAAGAATGCTCTTGTGGTTTACTTGTAGTTGGTCAAAGATGCCTTTGGAATGTATGAGCCTGTCAGTGTGTTTGCTTCAAAACCTTTTAACCTCTTTTAAAGGGGTCTGTGGAATACCTGGATAAATTCTGATAGGTAATAATAATATATGTTAATAATTGTCTTGTTGCATATAAAGTGAGAGTGATTTATATTGTTACTTTGTATACTTGTAATTTGCATAACTTTAAAAAAAATATTGTGTTAGCTTATGGGATGTTTTAAACCATAACAGCTGATGCTTCCACAGCACTGTGTTCTTCCCTCCCTGTGCTTTCCCATTCAGTGGTGTTGTCTCTCTTCTAGCAGTGTTGAAACTTCTGCTCCTGAAGGAATTTGGTTAAGGAATGTAAACTGGAAGAATATCAAACACAAGATATAACTAGTTTCATGACTTTCAGATGTTTTTTAGCACTTCGGAGTCAGGAGTGTCAGTACTAGTATAGGGGTATGAACTGAAATGCAGGACTCCTAGGAGGGTAGAAAGCTCAGAGAACTGGCTTGAACTCTGGCTTGGAGTAGTTGACACTACGGAGGAGAGCAGTGTGGTCTGGATTTTTTTTAAGACCAACTTGTGATCCTTCATCTGATCTCCTTAACTCAAACACTTGCCTGCTCTTTCTCGTAGCCCCATGATTCTACGTCTTATTTCTGTTGTAGTTGTCTCACTTAAATCTTTAGACAGTTCAAACTGAAAAACATACAAGTATTAGAGAGAGTTCCTGTGCAGAGATATGCTGTTTCCAATGACAGTGGTGGAAACTAGTATGGCTTCTGCTTTCTATCATATTGTGTAGTCAAGCCTTCTTTGAGAAT